AGTATATAAAGTCTACAGTATCTCCAGCCTTATATGCTTACCTTGTTTACTATCCTTATTTGAAGGTTTTTAAATTCTCAATTTTTATTTATCTTGTTTCAAACCTTAAACTTGTTTGTTTACTTTTTTTGTGACTGCATTTTCACTTTAAACTAACTATCTTTGTATCTGTATTTTTGTGTGATCTCTATTCCCCTTTTTAAATTAACAATTTTTAATAATCTTGTTTCTTTATTTTTTTATGTCCATCATGGACGTAAATGTGTATGATAGCAATAGTGTCCCATTTCAAACAGTTTAATTTAATGAAATACATAGTTGGTGAATGATTCTCTGTCTGAAAACAATGACAACCTTTGGGTTGGCTTCATGCAGATTGGATGGCTATTGCTCCTGATATTATTGCCACAATGTTATCATTGACAGTGGTACTGCTTGTGTGATCACTATGATGTTGTGATCAACATACCAAATGTTATGTATATGTTTGTAAAATAGATATAGCTAGTATATTTTTATCCTATAGCTATATGGGGAGTCTGTAAACACTGGATTGGAAGGACTAATGGACTATACTGAAATGGTGCATGAACTGTATTTTGTAACTGCATGAGTTTTATAAATGTATGTACATGCAATTCATATTGAATGATATTTATATCTATATGTTGAAAAGCCATATATATAGATAACCATATGAACTTTTCAAGTTGTATAGATGCATGCATGTATATTAAATTCAAATATAAGATATATAATATATATAGCATATATATACAAATAAGAATTTACAAAAATATTTGTTATAGTTGTTATATTTTCCCCTTCCTCCTTTATGCTAGCCATAGTAAGGCCAGTCACAGTTTTAGTGCAGCTCACCAGATTTCCTTTTAGAGTGACATTCTGCCCACTCTACAACATTGAAAACATGTTAATTTATGATTATGAGTTGATTATATTAATATACTCTCCTCCACTTCTAAAGAAGTTAGGATCATGACACTTCTACTACCCTTTTCCACTGTGATGACCCTAAACTCTTGTGGGCTGTTGTTGCTGCATAATTTATCTGAAACTAATTATTTTCTAAATACAGTATATAGCTAAAAAGCTTCTGCATCACTTTCACCTAGAATCACCATCATTTTCACCACGTCCTGCTTGCATGAGTTTTGCCAATCCTTATTGTCAGCTCAATGAGGGCTACTCTATCTGGAGTATCTATGAAATTGGCAATCAGGCAGTGTGGGCTATGATTCAAAAACTAGGATTGGTAATCACTGTGATTATCAATCTGATGCTTGATGCTATCTTTTAAACTATGGCATAAAGATATCTGTCATGGGAGACTAACTGATATCGTTTATGATGATTTACTGTAGTTAATGACTATTTGGTCGCATTAGTTCAAGATGTAAACATTTAAGCTGCAGCTGCATATTGTTATAGAGAATGTTTTGAGAATATAGTGAGCATTTATAGTTTCTGTGTAACTAACTTTTCTATACATAATGCATAGCAATGGCCATATATATGCCTAAGCTAAGATAAAACCACCAGTAAGTGTGTATAAAATTTTACTAGTGGAAAAGCAGCCTTTTCAAATAAGGAATATACATCTAAAACATCGCGTTAAATAAACCTTTGGCTCTTTTATAGTAATTATTCTATGAATGTTTGTAATAAAATTTAATATTATGTGTATTGTTTTTTTTTTACTCCTTCACTTCATATATAATATAGGGGTTGGCTCCCTAAAACACCGATTGTATAGTGTACAAAGCATTGCATATTTACATGTTACAGTCATCTAATGTTCATCTGTTATTGGCTGGTAATTCATGTTTCAACTGGTACTTAAGCTTCTTAGGACCAGATATTTGTAAGAAACTAATCTCAAAAGATAATGATAACATCGTTTACACTAGAATTATTATTTTTTTTAGCTTCTGAAAAATATAGAAATAACTTAAAACTACCATAGTAATATTGCCCAGGTTTGATTGTAATACTCATGACCATTTTTGCTGTAAGCTGGTGGAATAATGATCATAACAAAAAAGAACAAATGGGTGATCCCTATTATGAACCACTACCATGGTTCTATGATAGTACTGCATTCAAAAAGACACAGTGTAGATCTATCCAAAATGAGGTGGCACCATATCTCTTTATAAGGTTACCATAATTGTTCCATTCATAAATTAAAAATTACCATAAAAAATCCCACAATTATATTTATCCTTTTACAACAGCTATATACTTGCTGAAGGCTTTACAGTTTTAAGGTTTTTGTTAACAAATTGCACTTAAATAATTTTTTCATAACATCAATCCTCCTCTCATATAAGAAGTCCTTCTCAACTATCATGCCCTAAGTGCCTAGTCATTAAGACTGATAAATTTCTAATTGAATAAACATTTTAGTCGAATTAATACTTCCTAGCATCGTCAGCAAAATTTGAA